AGGGATTTTCACTTTAAGAGCCCAAAGCATTTTCAAATGTATTTCACACATTTCCCCCTCCTCTTTTGTGGAGAAAAAAATAACTCAGCATTGGCTCATTGTTCAAAAGCTGAGGAACCATCTTGAAGATGGTTGTCACTTTGACAACCACATTACATTCTCAGGAACACATAGGCTCTATTGCCACAGAGGTGAAGAGGAAAGCTGCTATTATGTGACAACATTACTGATAAGAGAGAAGCAGGAGGAAATAAAGAGCAATGTCTCTTTTGTGCAAGTACACACAGTACAGTTATGTGTGATATGCTGGAAAGGCATCTGCTTGACTACCCAAGCTATTCAGCTATATTTTTTGTCATTTTGCTTCTGTCATACAAAACATAATGTCAAGATTTTGATACACATTGACTTATTTCTTCACTGAATATACATGGGCAAAGTGTGAGGTCTTGATTACTTATTTTTAAACACACACACATACATATGTGACACACACAAACAGAGCCACAGGCTTGTAAAGTTTTCAAAGCAAATTCCATCTTTTTGTTAAACCATGAGTCTAATTCCAAGGAAACAACACTACATAGTAGCCTTCAAAGAGAACACTATGAAAATGGCCCTACTAGTTTATCAGTCTAGTCTTTTCTACAGTTTTGATCTTTTAATATCAAGCCATTCAGTATTTGTAAATTCTTGTTGAAGGGATATAAATAATTATTTCACAACATGATGGCACATGCTGCATAATGGTGGAGAGTGTATATAGTTACCATTGCAGTGGAAAAGGACATAGCATGCTTAATGGGAAGCATCACTGAGATACGGTAGCAGAAAGGAGTATCCAGGATGAAGCATCAGATGACCATAAGGTGCAGGTGATACAGGACTGCACTTGAAGATCTTCTTGAAGTTCTCTCATATTATAGATGTATGGTGTCCATCAAAGATGGGAATTGTTCAACTTTCCACATGTTGCTGGACTGTGGCATAGTAGATTGAACACTGAGCTACAACTCTGGAGACCAGGGTTTGACCTTGGGCAAGTTGCATGCTCTCACCATCAGAGGAAGGCAATGGCAAATATCATCTGAACAAATCTCCTCTGAACAAATCTTGCCAAGAAAAGCCCATAATAGTTTTGCCTTAGGGTCACCATAAAGCAGAAACAGCTCAGAGGCATACAGTACACATGCAACTCGCAGTAACCCTATGTAGCATAGTTAATGGTGAGGAATGCTGGGAGGTGTAGTTCAACACCATTTGGAAGACCACATAGTCCCCACTGTAGAGATAGACAAGAGTTTCACACAAATGGAGAACTGGTGATGGCAAAACTAAGCATCTGCAATGACAGTCCATGAGCATTTAGAGATGAGATTCCAGAAACAAATCTGACAGAGAATGCATAGCTTGCCAGCCATGTGTGGTGGCCCACCATAGACTCAGTTAATGTTTAATTCTTCTGGCTGCTTGGAACTTCAAAAACTAAGAATGCTGTTATGATATGGTTTATCTTACAGTCAAAAATCCTGCATGCCTATGGTAAGATGTAGGAATTTCAAGAAGCTGTGAGTTTGAGGAAGGGTGGGGAAAACACTGATTCAGGAAATGTATTCAGGAAACAATGTTTTAGTTCATCATGCAAAATAAAAGTGAACAAAATAAAAGTGAGAAATAATATGTTCATTAGTTATTCTGAAATAAAATGATAAACAGTTTAAAAAATGGAGTATCCATGACCCAACAGATTTTGGATTTCCTCTTTTATCCTGATTGTGGGCCATGCTAGCTAGAACTGGTGATAGCTGGATGCTGTAGTTGTTTTTGATAAGATCTTACCAAAATGCACTAATTTCTTCATTAACAGAACTGAAACAACCAGCGATTTAAATAGTCTGAAAACAAAATGGCAGATTTATCCATCCCTAGCATAGGATGAAGGATTTTAATATGAACCAGTAGAATTCTTGGGGGATTGCAGGGTTGCAGACCACACTGGGTGACACCCCAGAGGTGGGTGACACTCAGTGACTCCCTCATCCTACCCCTCTTTACCACAACCCAGTTTTCCTTAAAGGAAAACCAAGCTGTGGCAAGGAGACAGGCTGAACATGTGCATGCCCCCTACCTCCTTGCCACGGCCAGCAGAAGAGATGGGGCTTCTGCAAGGAGGTGTGTGGTGGCTGGACTCAGCCTTGCCAAGTACACACATGCCCCCTCTGAGGAAAACCAAGCTGTAGCAAGGAGGGGTCGGGGCGCATGCACCCAGCAAGGCTGAGCCCGGCCTCCCCGCATCTCCTTTGTGGAAGCCTAACCTCTTCTGGCTGGGAAGCCCTGCCTCCCGTACCAGGTGACATCAGAGGCAGGTATGCCACTGATATGAATCAACCTAATTCACTTTCTTCAAACTAATATGTAAGCCAGAACACAATTATCCTTCATTATACATCTTCAAATGTTGCAATGCAGTTTTACAATAGCAAAATGTATACGTTAGGGGAAATATTCCAAAAATAGTTGTATATTTGGAGGGAAAATGTTTGCAAAATTGCATAGGTTAATAATAATAATAATAATAATAATAATAATAATAATAATAATAATAATAATAATAATAATAATAATAATAATTTTTATTTATAACCTGCCCCTCTGAGCGGCAATCGGGGTGGGGTACAACAGTATTAAAATAGAACAAAGTTTAAAACATTCCATCATCCCATAGTCCCACCCTCCCATCCCCTTAAAACAGAATTAAACAGATGACCAATTAAAATACAATATTAAAAACATTGACGACAATAATATAAGGAGTCAGATTTACAAGTCAGGGACCCATCCCTAGGCTGAGAGTTATTCCGGGAAGGCCTGCCGGAAGAGATCCGTCTTTACTGCTTTCTTAAAAGCTGCAAGAGTGGTAATTAGATGGATCTCATCCGGCAGGCCATTCCATAGTCTGGGAGCGGTCACAGAAAAGGTCCTCTGGGAGGTATGAGACAGCCTAGTTTTTAGTGGCTGTAGCAGATTCCTCCCAGAGGACCGAAGGGCATGGGGGGGGGGTTCATATGGGGAAAGGCGGTCCCTAAAGGCCATGAATTTCAAAATCTGTATGAATTCTGAATAGATGAAGGAATGGGCTTGGATGAACATGTTTAAAAATGGAAATATGAGACACTCTTTAAACGAATAATGGACTATTTATTAAAGAATGCTAAAAATGGATGATAAAGAGGAAGGTCATTTTCATTTGTGCCTCATACATCTAGTAACAACTGTATTTTTCCCCCAGCTAAGCCCATAGCTTGTTCTACCGTAACAGCAAAAGACATCAGTATTGTTGTGTGACAATCTTAATTTCATATTAAATTGTATACCAATGATATTTCTCTTTCTCTCTCACAGCAAAGCCCCTAATGCTATATGTTTATTTCTACTGGCTCTGCCTTCTGGAACACTTCACACTTTGACCGTTTTTGCTCATCCTCATTTTGGAGGTAGCACAAATTGGAAATATTTGTGCTCAGATCTCATTCCAGACATCTTGGTTTCCTCATCAAAGCCAGCCAAGAGAAACAGAGCTTCATTTGATTAAATCACCTAAGGGACCACAGCTATATCTTAGTGCAGTGCCACTTTTCTAATGCCATAAATTTAGTGCTTGGCTGTTTTTTTTAAATCTTCTGTTTTAAAGCAGTTTCATCCATTTGCCATGCAGAGGGAGTTAATCTGTTCTTCTGATTAGGAGAATGTTTCTGTTGAAATAATAGAAAAGGAGCATAATCATTTAAACAGGATCTTGAATATCAGGTTCAGGTGGTTTAATGCTTTGAAGGAAGGGAAAGAATTTAGAAAATTCTAAGCACTGTTAGAATAAACAATAGTGATATATGCAATAAGTTTTGGGTGGACAAAGGTAAGATCTCAATGTAATTGTCCTCTGAGTAAATTGTTGCATTACTGACTTTTTTTTTTAATGAAAGCAGCATAAAATTGTCTCCTCTTCTACCTTAAATACACTGCTGAAAAGCTTCAGGTAACTAGATGGAAGCCAGTATGGAATAGTGGTTTGTGTGTTGCATTAGGACCCTTGAAATCAGGGTTTGAATCCCCACTTAGCCATGGAGACCCACTGGGTAACCTTGGGCAAGTCACCTCCTATGAATAAATCTTACCAAGAAAACCATGGGATATAGGGAATAGCAATAGCAAATACATTTCTGTACTGCTTATTAGTGAACTAGCACTCCCTAAGCAGTTTACAATGTGTAAGCCAATTGCCCCCAACAAGTTGGGTACTCATTTTACCAACTTCTGAAAGGATGGACCTTGGAGCCCTCCTGTAGGATCAAACTGCTGTATTGGCAGTTAACCATTGCACCACAAGGCCTTTCTTCATAGTCCAATTTCAGTGGTTTCAGCTTTCTTCATAGTCCAGCTTTCAAAACCATATACTGCTTTATTTCTGCAGTGTGGCTACACCCTGAAGCAAACATCTAAATCCAATTGTTAGCTTCACCTGCAGTAGACCCATTGAATCAAGGAAAACCAAATAAATCTACACTTGGTGGTGGCTGTGTGTGTCTTCAGGTCACTTCTGACTTATGGAGACCCTAAGGCAAACCTATCATGGGTTTCCTTGGCAAGATTTGTTCAAAAGAGGTTTGCTATTGTCTTCTCCTGAGGATGAGAGAGTGTGGTTTGCCAAACATCATCATCATCATCATCATCATCATCATCATCATAATAATAATAATAATAATAATAATTTTATTTATATATATCCCACCCCTCTGCAGAGCAATCAGGGTGGCTTACAATATTAAAATTTACATAAAGATATGTTAATACAATGTAAACAGAACCTAAAAGTCCCGAAACCCACCCCTTAAACATTAAGGGCTCTTCTTTTTAGTCTAGGCCCGATGGTGCTGGGCCTGTTGCCTCTCCCCCAGATGACATCAGATGGAATGGAGGGAGAGCTCTTCACCCAGTGGGTTTCATGACAGTGCTGGAATTTGAACCCTGGTCTCCAGAGTTATAGTCTGACACTCAAACCACTATGCCACACTGGCTATCCAAATCTACACTTAGGAATGCTTAATTGAATCCATGAATCTACTTCACTTGAGACTAGCAATTGATAATCCCTAGCAGCACATCTGTAAATTTCACCTTCTTCCCATTAAAATCTCACCAATTTTGGTAAATTCAGATCAAATGCTGAATGATATGGTGTCCTAATACACACATGTCCCTGTGGTGCCTTCTAAGCTGTCCTGTCCTCCCTCCCTGAGGCATTTGTCTTCCCCCTCCCACTTTGATGAAAAATCAGGTGAGTTTGAAACCAGAAATATATCTATTAAATATGTTAAATCAGACAGACCAGATGTTACAGAGAAAATATTGGAGAATTCTTTTATATATGGTTTCAGTTGCAAGACTGTTAATAGCACAGAAGTGGAAAAACAAGAGTTACCAGTTGTGGATGATTGGCTATTGAAGCTGACTGAAATGAAAGAAATGGATAGACTAACTGCCCTGTTGAACCAGGTTGATCTAGAAAGGGTAGATAAAGAATGGTCTCCTGTGGAAGAATATAGTAAGAAAAGATGGTCAAAGTAGAGCAAGTAAACTAATGGAAATGTTAAAGAATCTTATTGAGGAAGGATAAGATGATTAAAACATAGGATGTATGGAAATATATATCAAATTATAAGATACAAATAATGAGCTAGTGAAAGAGAGCTGAGGTTTAATAATGATGATAGAAAAGAAAAAGATCTATAACGTAAGACTAAAGACAATGGTATTTGTTGTCAAAGCAACTTTATGGAAATTTAGTAATGTAGTTTAGGAAATTATAGCTGTACTTAGCTTATGTGTGAAAGACTTTTTTTTAGAAGTGTAAATAATGATAAATAAAGTTATTTTTAAAAAAATCATGTGAAGGAGAAAATGGTGGAAGTGATATATCTACATCCATTTCAGCCTGATTTTGGGCCAGGGTATTGTAGCAAGACAATCTTGATTACTCTGACAGATGAGATACTCTGTTGGAAAAACAAATGGTGTGCTACCCTGTTGATCCTCCAAAATATCTCAGTAGATTTTGATACCATTGATCATGGTATCTTACTGGACTGGTTCCAGTGGATGGGAATAGGAGACACTGTTTTACAGTGGGACCACTCTAATCTGTGTAGTTGCTTTGAGAGACTGGCATGGGGGGACTTCTGCTCAGCCCCATGGCCATTGTTCTGTGAGGTGCTACAGGTTTCAATTTTGTTTCCCAAGCTATTTATATGGGGCTATTGGGTGATGTCATTAGGAGTTTTCGGGTTGAATGTTATCACTATGCTGATGATGCTCAGCTCTACTTCTTGTTATCGGAGTCAGCTGGGGCTATGGGGGTGCTGAAGCTGTACCTTGAGGCTATATTGGACTGGATGTGGGTGAATAAACTAAAGCTGAATCCTGATAAGATTGAGGCTTTGTGGACTGGTGGTTCTGAGTCTGGGAGTACTCCTAGATCCATCATGTCTCTGGATTCCCAGATAGATTTAATGGCTTTGAGTGATTGGAGCCAACCTTGACTCGTCTGCCAGCTATGATGTTTTCTGGACAGGGATAACTTAGCCACAGTAATCCATGCACTGGTAAACTCCCAATTAGACTACTGCAAGGCAATCTATGTCAGGCTGGCCTTGGATACAACTCAAAAACTACAGCTAGTACAAAATGTAGCAGCTAGACTGCTCACTGGATTTCTTTCAGGTATCCTATAACATGTATTCTGAAGAAATTGCGCTGGCTGCCAATGTTTCTTTTTTTAATTCATTTTTTTTAATTTTGGCAATGTAATTTAAAGCCTTAAATGGCTTGGAGCCTCAGTGCTTGAGGGAGTGGCTTTCTCTATATATGCCTATCATTAAACCGAAATCTATTGGAGGGGCCCTTTCTCCATATTCCATGGGAGATGACCTTTTCTGTGTTGGAAGGGCATTACTTCTCTTTGGAGGCCCAATTGTGCCAATGTTAGAATCATTTTAGTACCAAGTTTTTTTTTTGTTTTTTTTATTATTAAATCCTTTGGGCCATGTCAATTTTAACCAGGATGCACATATTTTATAGTTATGTTAGTCAAATTTATTTTAACCAGTTTTCAAATGTCTGGATTTACACTGAAAACTATTTAATATATTTTAATATTTTAAATGATTATTTAAACAAATTGCAGTATTTGGTTTTTTTTAAGCTGATTTTATTGTAAGTTGCTCTGAGGTCTTTGGATATGTTGTGGGCTATAAATATTTTAGTTAATAAATAAATAGAAGAGTTTTGGCAGCTGCCGTAAAATATTCAAGATGGGCTGTATCTGCCTTGAATCTGCTCACACATATAATTCAAAGTGATATAGTCACATAGTCAAACACCTGCATTGAACAACTTTTATCTTTTTATATTTTATCTTTTTATCTTTTATATATATAAGCTGCCCCGATTGTGCTCAGAGGGGCGGGGTATTAAATAAAAATTATTATTATTATTATTATTATTATTATTATTATTATTATTATTATTATTATTATTTATTTATATTTTGATTTCATAGCTTTTAACAATAAGATGAATATAATGAGCAACAAATATGGTCTAATCTCTCCCCCACCATTAGATCACTCCTTTATAATCAGAGTGCCCTGCTTAATCGTTTTGATTTTGTAATTTTGTTTTAAGTTAAATTTTAATGTTGTTATGAAATATATATATATATATATATATATATATATATATATATATATTGGGAGTGAATGTTTTTGTATTGTATGGGATTGTGCTTTTAGATTGTAAACTGCCTTGATAGCCTTGGCTAAAGGCGGGATATAAATAAATTATTATTATTATTATTATTATTATTATTATTATTATTATGCAACAAATAAAAGGACAATATCAAGACATTATTAGCAGAAAAATAGCAGCTTGAATAACAAATGAGAAAACATAGAAAATAAGGGTTTAAATTTGTTTACAAAATGCCAGGAGGAAATTTACAGAATTGGAACTCTGCTTCTAATCAGAATCAATCTGACCTTCAATCTGTAACATAAATGTTAAGCCCTATGATGCATCACTTATATTTTGTTGTTTCACCTAGAGAAGGGTCACCAAGTCACCTAAATCCCTGCATCATTGCTTCCAGTGCTTGTTCCAAAATGTTCAGGAGTCATAACATTGAGAGTGCACCTTGGTATGAATTGCAATTGAGCTGAAGCACAGACACTGACTAGCCCTTTCTCAGCACTTCTCTCCCCAAATAATTTTGTCAGACAGGCAAACTCAGACTGGCTGTTGCCCAATAAAATGCTAAAAGCTTTAATAACCTACCAAGTTATGGAGGAATGGTTTATAAGATGATATGAACAGATTACCAGCAACACTTGGGTTTTTCTGCCTTGGGTAAAGGACAAAATAACTACAGCCTTGATCCATATACAGGAGACAATTGAACTAACAGAAGAATCCAACAATGTTGATGGGATGGCAGCTTCCACTACACCTTTAATAACAGGCTAGTTTAGAGAAGCCAGGAAGGTTCTGTACCCAACAAAGTTGTATTGTCCAACAGAAGGAAGGAGTTGGAAGCTTCATGACAAGAATCTGGAAGGTTGTCACCACTGCTTCCAGCATCTGCTGCCTTAGACAGTCATTTTACTAATCCCAAAGATAGAATTGGCAATGAGGCTGACCCTGCCAAGGAACAACAAAGATAGATCCATGCTTTCTCTGATCCTGTTTCTTGATAGCTTATGTGGATGTAGTAGTCATTTATGTTCATTTGGGGAGGTTTAGTCAATCTGACAAATGAGAATGAAATAGCATAATTAAGCATCTGTCACATCTTAGACTCAGAGCATTAGCACGAATTTGTGGTTGACAAAAGAGCCCAGTCAAAAATAAGCACAGGCTTTCAAAAATAACTAGGACAGAATTGCAATGAGTAGATTCCAAAATGGTTCAGAGGTCTGATATAGATTAGCAGCCGTTATGTGGCTATTATCTTAAGAACTTTAAAAAGCATGCACCTGTTCTGAATGCAATTTGCTGTCTCTTAGCCACACTGGTCCTGCAGTGCTAATAGGAATGAAAAGCTGTTGCTGTTTTAAATGTGTCATTAAAATCTTCTGAAGTTGACTCTTAATGTGCACAGTGAATTGATCTCTGAAATTCACAAGGCTTCCTTGTTACATAGTCACTTTTTAGACCAAAATGCACTTGAAGGTTCAGAGAAAATGGCAGGGGTATGAAAGGAAGATTTTGCAGGTGTTCTCAGCTAGGAGCCTTTCCTGAGGATACAGAAAATGACCAATATGAAGCATTAATTGAAAAGAAGACTTAGTAGCACAACGGGAGATATATAATTTTTTTTACTAGTTACCTTTAACTTCAGTGGTAGAGAAAGTCTTAGAAACTATTTTGGGAGATCAAATAAAGAAGTCCTTTGAAAAGCTCAGTTTGATTAAAAACAGGAAAGGAGGGCCATGGACCACTTACAGGTTGAGCATCCTTTAAGGATACTGCTGAAGTTAGGAGAAATTTAAACTATTCAGAAACTGCAGTGTAACATACCTGGCTGGAATAAAAATGAACAGTCTAGATTCAACTAGAAGAGAATAAGAATATTACCTCAATTTGTTTGGACTACACATTATATGCAATTAGCTGATAGTCTGAATTTTAGAAATGTGAATTGTATGAATGGTACTGTTAACACTAAAGTTGTAGTCATATTTGAATACTTCCTTGAGCTATATAGGGCTGAGATATCTGACACATTAACATTTCCAGGAGAAGAACTGTGGTCCCAATCCATTGCTGTCACCCACAAGGAGTATTGCTTGAGATGAGGTTGGGTATCCCAACCACAGCAACTAGAGCCTGGAAATGTCATTAGATGGCCAGGAACAGAGCTCCAGGGAGGGAGCCAGAAGCAATTGGGCCAAAGATGTAAGGTCTATGCAGGCAATAGTTCTTTTAAGCATATGCAGGAGTAAGAATCATATGGTTCTTC